TTTGCTTTTTTTTTTTTTTTTTTTTTTTTGGTGAGTCCATTTTTAGACGTGGTAACTTTGCGATGCCTGTGTTGAATAAACAGCCGAGTCTGGAGCTTCGCGGAGAGCACAGGGCAGATGGGTGCCCCGCCAGATTATTTATAGCCATGGGACTAGATCACTCACTTAGGGATGGAGCACAGAAGTTCTGAAATTAATAACAGTAATAATAGCAGCCATCACTGAGCACCGTGCTAAATACTTTGCATAGATCCTCTCAGTCCTCATAACTCTGTGAGGTAGGTGCACTGTTATTCCCATTTATAGATAAGAAAATTGGGACTTAGAAATTCTGTCCAAGGGCACACCGTTAAGTGCAAGATGAGGTTCAAACCCAGTTGGGCAGAGCCGGTGCCCTTAGACACTGCACTTCCTCCCTCCCATCAGTGCCTGGTGTCTTCATGAGGTCGCTTAGGGCAGGGCAACTGGGTGAAGCTGCCGGAAGGCAGAGCAGACCCCTACCGGAGCACCGCCGCCTGGCCCAGAGCGCCCACAGCGATGTCGGCAAGGCCGTCGCCACTGAAATCTAAGCCACCTGCCACCGATGTGCCGAAGAACTGGAGTCCTGGGGCCACCACTGAGGCTCTGATCCGCTGTGGATCGAGAAACACAAGGTGTCAGGGAGGGAAAGGGGTTTCCTTTTGGTTTAACTGAATCAGCATATTAGCCTTTGTCCCCACCCCAGGGAGCCATCAGCTGAGGAACCGGAAAGAAAACGTCAAGGTTCTCCCAGGGAGGCTTGAAGCGGGGTGGGGCTTGACAGGGAGAGTAAGGAGAGCAGGGGGTGGGGAAGAGTAGGGTCGTCCCAGCAAACAGTCAGGGGTCAGTGCAGTGGGCACAGGGAGTACTGGGCACAAGCAGTCCTCTTGTGGGGCTGAGGCGAGGGTGGCTCTGAATGACATTTCAGAAACACCACTGAAGCACAGGGTGGAAGATGCGGAAGAGGAAGGAGCCAGGGCAGGGGTGGTGGGGATGGAGAGGAGGGGCTGGATTTGGGAGACAGTAGGATCTTTAGAAGGCAGAGGCTGCTAGGTTGAGCTGAGGTCTGGGATTAGCCCGGGTTTCTGCTGTGAGCAGTGGAGGGGTAGGGCTCAGAGGAGCAGCAGGTCTAGGGGGAAGAGGATGCTTTCAGTTGGGCATCCTGAGAGTGAGATGCTGGAGGCCATCCAGGTGAGGGGCTCAGGAGCAGCTGGACACACAGGACTGAAGCTTGGAGAGAAACTACAGCTGGATGTGAGTGAAAGTGCCCATAAAAGATGTAGTGTGGAAGTTGGCAATGGATTCCTGGGGGGTGAGAGCTAGGCTTGGGGTGGGGGGGAGGGGTTGGGTGGGAGACAGGAGCCAGAGAAGGGACAGAGAGAGGAAAGAGGATCTGAGGCAGGTCCATGGTCAGGGATGCCAAAGAAGGAGGGAGTCACAGGTCAGGAAAGTACATGGATGTTGCCACAACCTCTAGCCCCACTGGAAGGGTCTGAGGTGAGAACCTCCAAGTGACTTCTGTCCCTCAATCCCCTGGGACCTGCCTGGCACTCAGGACTGGAGCTGGCTTGGGTCTCAGGTCATCATATCTGGGGAGGGTCAGAGTCCCAGAGTAGAGGCAAGAGAGAGCCCTGCGGATCACCTGTGGCTGGTTGGTAGAGAGGTCAAACAGCTGGTTGGTAGAGTGTCCATTGTAGATGTACACGCTGCCGAAGCCTACACCATCATCTGCCCCAAAGTCTTCCAGGGGGGCCCCGACGGCCACATCTATGAGCTCATCCTGACTGATATCCCCCACTGTCGCCATGGCAAAGCCAAATCGCGCGTAAGTTAACCTGGGGTGGCCACTCAGCGTGCGTACCAAGGAGAAGGAACCATCCTGTAAGGCAGAGAGGCAGCTCAGCCCTCAAGACAGGGATGCGGGGTGCCCACCCCACTGCCACCCCAGAAAGCATGCTCAAGGACTTGTTGATTCTGATCCTCCAGCAGGGAGGGAGGCTGTGGCTCAGAAGAGGCAAGAGACCTTCCCAAGTTTATACAGTGAGTGAGTGGTGAAGCTGGAGTTCTCCTGCCTTGCAGTCCAGGACCAAGAGCTGCAACCCTCTGCTCCCATGATTGGGGTACTGGACTGGCGATCAGGAGGCCTGGCTTCTCGCCTTGGCTCCACCACACACTTGCTCTGTAAACTGGAGCAAGTCTCAACATCACTGAGCCTCAGCTTTCTCATCTGTAAAATGGGAGTAACAGCTACCTCCCATAGTTACTGTGAGAAACAAGTGAGATCACAGACAGGATGTGCTTTGTCAACCGTGCAGCTATTTGCGATGTCATCATCATCAACATGAGATGATGGGGTGGGGAAAGTAAGAAAGTGGGGGAGGGGACGGAGGGAAGCAGTCACCCCACCAGGCTGCCATCCACCCTGAGCTCCCCATCACTGCCCTCTGGTGCAAGGCAGGGCCGGGGCACTCCCAGCCTCTGTCACCTCGGGCCCAGGCTGAGCAGCCACAGCCTCAGCCAACTTGCGAAGATGGTGACTCTCCCACCTGCTTGTTCACACGGTACACATAGACTCTGCCCTCCTCGCCTTGAACGTGGTAAAACGGGGCGGCCACCAGCAACAAGTCTGTGGTCCCATCCATGTCGAAGTCCACAGGGCACAGCTCAGAGCCAAAATAGGACCCCATCTACAGGCCAGGGGGAACACAGCTCACAGGGAGTGCCGGGGAGGCAGCCGCCACCGCCAGAGCCCTCAGCAAAGCTAGACCTCTGCTCTGGCTCTTCCTGGGCCGCCAACTCCGGGTCAGACCAGATCAATTTGCTCACCAGAATGACACAGGAGGCTCTGGGTGAACAGCCTGATCCCCCACGATGGGGGAAGCCAGCTGGCGCTCAGACACGCAGAGCCGGGGCAGAGGGTTGAGCTCTGAGACCTGAGTTCTGCCCAGGCTGGGTCCCCAACCCACTGTGTGCCCTGGAGCCCACCCCTTTCCCTCTGGGACCTTCAGATCCCCAACTGTAGCAACGGGGGCGGGGGTCCTTCTCCAGCAGTACCTGCTCGCCCTCCAGCACTGGTACAAAGTTGGTCTCTTTGCTCTCCTTCCGGAGCTCAAACACAGCCCCTTGCTGCTTGTGCCGTGGAGCCCCTGCCACATAGGAGAGGCCACAGGCCTTGTGCAGCACGGCCACCGAGTAACCTGGGGTGGGGGGGGTGTGGAACTGTGATCAGGATCTCCCAGCGGGCCACTCCTTTGCCCCGCCCCCCTTCCCAGCCAGGACTTCGAAGTTGCTTGGGCAGGGAGGCAAAAGTGGAGAGACTATCCTTCTCATCCTTTTAAAATCATCAGCGGTGGCTCCACTTACCCATGCGGCTGCTCACACACGTGTGTCCCACCACAGAGATGGGATAGACACACACGATCATACACACAGCTTCCCTCAAAATACACTCCACGCACGTTCATCACAAACGCAGTGCATGAAGACTGAGGAGGGGTGAAGGGTCACCCACCGCCATTACTAATGGAGAGGCCCTACCTCCCTAGGCAGCTGCCGGGACGTGGCGCTTTGGTACCAAGCAGGCCTAATTCTCAGCCTCAGGCTCCCTAAGTGGGGCCCTTCCCTCAGTCCATGTGACTGACCTGGGCCCTCCCCAGCTAGGAAGCACACTGCAGCCTGTGTCCCTGTACAGGCCCCACCCACACCCAGGGAGCCTCCAGGCCCCGCCCTCACCCAGGTAGCTGTACTGCGCAGCCTTGGCATCCACTGCCGTCTGGTTCAGGAAGCGGCCCTTGCGGCTGCTCATGTTGTAGAACAGCGTGCCCCCCGACCAGTCGAAGGCCCCTACAGCACCGAGCAGCACCTGCTCCTGCAGGGGACAAGGGTTGGTGGCCATCTGAGCGGGAGGGACCCAGGGCCAGCCAGGGTGGCCTCGGGTCTACCTGCCAGCACAGCAAACCTTGCAGGGGGGGATGAGGGGCATTCAATGCACCCGGCCAGAGACGCAGGAGGAAGGCGAGAGGCAAACACTGGGTTCCTGCCTTGTACCCATGACTCTGTCAGGGCAGCTGTCCCTCCAGTACCAGCAACCCCTGGGGCAGAAATCCAACCCGGGGCCCAGATGTTGAGCATTTTAAAAAGTATGACTGAGGGACTTCCCTGGTGGCACAGTGGTTAAGAATCCGCTTGCCAACGCAGGGGACACAGGTTCAAGCCCTGGGCCGGGAAGATCCCACATCCCGCAGAGCAACTAAGCCAGTGCGCCACAACTACTGAGCCTGCGCTCTAGAGCCTGTGAGCCACAACTAGTGAGCCCTCGTGCCACAATTACTGAAGCCTGCGTGCCTAGAGCCCATGCTCCGCAAGAGAATCCCCCACTCGCTGCAACTAGAGAAAGCCCACGTGCAGCAACAAAGACCCAACACAGCCAAAAATAAATAAATTAAAATAAATTTTTTTTAAAAAGTACGACTGAGCAAAATGGGGCTCATGTCCTCCAAGTCTGCACAGCCTGAGTCTGGCACCCAAGGCCCACCTGCGTCGACTGATGTGCTAACCGCGCTTCCATCACATGCAAGGACGGTGTCCTCACTGCCCATATCCCTCCCCACCTGTGGGGAACAGGGCCTCTGGTGGGGAGAAGTACCCGGCTTGGTAGGCAAGCCCACCCAGGCCTGGGTGTTACCAGTCTGTGTTAAGGAAGCTGCTTAATCCTTGAGCGCAGGACGAAATGACCTCCTCTTATAAACAGGGCCATTCTCTCCTCGACCTCAAAGGTCCAGGTTAGGGCGAGCACACAGAAGTGTTTTCCTTTGTCCTAAAATGGCTCTTTCATGGGACTTCCCTGGTGGTCCAGTGGTTAAGACTTTGCCTTCCAAGGCACGGTATGCAGGTTTGATCCCGGGTTGGGGAGCTAAGATCCCACATGCCTCGAGGCCAAAAAAACAAAATATAAAACAGAAGCAATATTGTAACAAATTCAATAAAGACTTTAAAAATGGTTCACATCGGGCTTCCCTGGTGGCGCAGTGGTTGAGAGTCCGCCTGCCGATGCAGGGGACGCGGGTTCGTGCCCTGGTCCGGGAAGATCCCATATGCCGCGGAGCGGCTGGGCCCGTGAGCCATGGCCGCTGAGTCTGCGCGTCCAGAAGCCTGTGCTCTGCAACGGGGGAGGCCACAGCAGTGAGAGGCCCGCGTAC